GTAGGTAGGTAGGTAGGTAGGTAGGTAGGTAGGTAGGTAGGTAGGTAGGTAGGTAGGTAGGTAAGATATCACCTCAGGGAGGGGGGCGATGATAACTTCCCCAATGGCTCAAGGGGGCGTTTCTTTCAAAAAGGTTAAGAACCACTGGTCTGGAGGAAGCCGCATGATGCCAGAATGGCAACATGACTGGCAAACTACTTCTGAGTACTTTGTATCTTGGAAATCCTAGGAGTGATGCCATAAGTAGGAATCAACACTACCAGACACTGGTGTTGTTATTGAGATGTTTGTTTCAAAATATGTCTCATTTTAGTTTTCATCGCATGGTTTGCAACTCCTGCAGTGGAACTGACCATTTAAATTGTACCGTTTAAATCATTACATTTAAATCATTCACATTTTATGTTTAAAACAGTGCACAATCTAGATCTCTATACATTAATATGGAGAATAATCATGGCTTTGTAGCAGTGCACATGCTTTGCATGCAAGAGATCCCTGGAACTGTCGGTGTGGCTAGAAAAGACCCATGTGAAATACTAGACAGCTGCTGTCTTTCAGTGTAGGCAGTACTGAGCTTAACAGACCACAGCTAGTACAAATAAGTTTTCTAGTCTTTGATTTACTACTTAATACTTTAAACCTTCTCTTGATCTGGGCAACAACATTCTCAAAATGCTGCTGCATTTTAGGGGCACATTTAATCAACCTCTAAAAACAAATTTATTTATTTATTTATTATTTATTTATTTTATTTATATCCCGCCTATCTAGTCGATAGACCACTCTAGGCGGCTAGAAAATTATGGAATTCAGCTTTTGAATGTGATATAAATTTCAGGGATTAGATCCAGACTTAGTGATGCTGAAGGTAAACCCATTGAAATCAATGTGATGACCAAGTCACAATTAATTTAAGTCTCACAAATGTTCAGTGGGCAGGATCCTGTTGAAGCAAATCATTTATGCAATGGCGTATCTCAGCTTTTAAAGCCCTTGCACAAGGAGATATCTAGTACATTTTCCACGTGCATAAGCTGCATTTTCATAGCATGGATTTCTACTTCTGTAGTTGCATCACATGCTCAAGCAATTACAAAAAACCACATATTCTGCAATTCGCTAAGACAGCAGGTTGCTGTGCCAACAAAGTGTTATACTGCACTAGAGTCCAACAGAATCCAGGCTAGCATGTCTACTCTGACAAAGCCTGGACCCAACTTATGGAGTTCAGTCATGTACTTCTTAGGTTTGAGGTGGTTTCTTCCTGATACTTCCAACAGAAGCTGCCAAATTAGTTGGCTACCACACACAAGACTACCAAATATATTTGGGAATCACTCAGGATCCCCATGTACTCAAGAAAAACATGACAAGATCTCATTCCCAATGTTCAAAGTGTTGTCTCCAGCTGACAAGCTGACTGATAAGCATGATTCACAATGCTGTGTATTTTCATTCCTCATTACACTTTAACACAATATGAAGTCTCCAGATGTCTTTGAAAAAGGTGAGTTTTCACAATAAGCAGAAGTAGCTGATTCCAAATCTGCTACATACAGTGTTCAAAACACTGTAACTTTCACATGGATGTACACTATGATAGTAAAGTCATGTGTGCGATGAAGTCTTAATGTGTTAAACAGAACTTTATAACATTTTAGAAAAATGAAGGTATGCTTACCCGGGTTTATAGCTGGTTTGAAAAAGTCAGTAATACAATGGTTTCTGCAAGAGGAAAAAAAGCAATGCCCTGAACAACTGCAAGTATCTAAATATGAAACTTTGTCAGACGATCTTTTGTATCAATAACATGGTGCTTTATGTGTGGCCAGATTATTTGGCAAGCTATGCCTGATCAGATCAAAGATATAAAATAGGGCTACCTTTCCATGTACACTAAAGTCATCATCCCCTGATTTTCTTTCTCTTTCCACTGAGTTCTATGGAGACATGCAAATATTAAAACTCTGTACTACAAATACCAGAGACACTATTGGGTCATTTCATATGAACCAGATTCCTGCCAGAATGGGCCACGTGCTTTGAAATTGGATATAAAAAACATTCACCACATCCTGCCTTCAGTTCTTATAATAAGATACTGATCTGCATATGCCATGATCTCTATTCACATCCCAAGGGGCTACTACTGTACACTGTTTTCAGAGTCTGGCCCACTTTCTTGCATACTTTCAACATTGAAAGCTGGCTACTGTACATTAGTTTATAGTATTTCAGTGATCTGAGATATTACCAACTGTGATTTGGAATTTTGTATATAAGTTGCATGGCTGTGCTGCTTTTATGCTTTAGGGAAATTCTTAAAACCAAAAATGCTTAAGAAGGGGCTTAAATCCACATTCTGAGGCACAAACCAACATATTTTTGTAAGCCAACATCATATTGGTATGTACAAGGCTGTTTTAACATCAAACGTGCACCACTGTTGTTTCCTGATTCCACTCAAACAGTCCCTTAAAATTAAATGGTTGATAAATCCCATTAAGCTACTCTCCATCTTCGACCTTCCTATCCTAAAACTCTGTGTAAAATTTTGATTTGTTCATCTACTCCTAGCCTGCACAATCCTGTCTCCAGATCACATATCATTTTTGCACAAAAGCAGTAAACATTTCAAAGCACTCCATGGAACAGTTAGCCTCCACAGCCAAACAAGCATTGCAATCAAATGGGACAAGGGACTGTATACAGAAACTGTTTTGAAGCTAGCAGAAAATAGTGGTAAAAATAATGTGGGACATACAGAGCAAGGATGTTGTCTATCTTTGAAAAGAACTGCAACCTAATGTTATAGCTCCTAAATAGCTAGAAAATGGGATGTACTGTTACACTTCTAAAAATTTTTTTAAAGTAGACATTAACAATGATAGCATGCTTATACCCTCTTCCAAATCTACAATGATTTTCACTAAGACAAATAACACGTGGAATTCACCAGGCTTTGATACACTTACGTTTCAGGGTTAATGGTTTTATAATAACTCTCCAGAACACTTTGTTGCTTGCTATATGCAAGATCAGTTTCACTTTCCAGCAAAGGAAGTGGTGTGAATGCAAAGACAAGATCACTCTCAATTATACACATATCTAATCTCAATAGGATGTTCAAAAATGCAGCCAATCAGTGATCTCTGGGAAAGCCACAATTTGCATACCTCTGACAGAAGCATTTGCCACTAGGAAATATTACTGCATAAATTGTTTTCCTCTTCAAAGATAATTGTAAAAAAAGGGAATTGTAAAAACAAAACAATTATATGCCCGAGGCTGGAGTTACTGTATTTTCATATTTGAGCAGAGAGTGGTTTTTAGCTTTATCACCTGATCAGATTTCTCTGACATGTCTTTTTTCAAGACATTCAACACAGGTTTGCACTTTCTATTGTTTCCCTACAAGCTAGCACTAAAGATTTTGTCTTCCAGAGGATAATGTTAGCTACTAAAGCAAAAACAACAATTCTGCTTGTGGACCAAAGGTGTAGTTCATATATAAGTTACATTTCTTTCTGTTACACTCTGAGAAGTGTCAGTCATCATACAGCCATTTACAGAAATGCTTAATTGAGAATCTTTGTCATCTGTCCATACCTCAGTTTCTCAAATTGATAAATTAGAGAGTCCCCATCTCCCTATGAAGTCAGTGAACACCCATCAGCCTGAGCACTCAGAGTGTCAAACAAAATATGTAGATAGACCAATCAAGTACAGTAAGTATATCTAGAATTTTCAACAAGCTTCAAAATCTCACGTTCATTCCTCAGACCGACAAAATCTAGTGTAGATTATGTTTGGAAGATATAAAGTCATCATTTGGGCCCATCTGGGCATTTAGATCACCTCCCACGAATGTCAGAGCATCAGGGTATTCACCTGTTAGAACTACTGCCATTGCTAAATGTCTCAAAGAGGGTTTTGTAACAGATTTCAGCTTCAAAGCAGTTGATATAAGAATACCCACCCCTCCTTCAATCACCCCGGTTCCCTGTCCAGCCACTGCATTTACCTTAAAAGAATTAAAACCATCTAGCACCAGATCTGTATCAGTCCATGTTTCTTGCAAAAGAATAATATCATATTTATGGTGGAGAAGGAGTATAGCAAAGTTTTAAGAGTTACAGCGTGTCCACCCTGCGAAAGGAGGATAGCAATTTGATTTCTGTCTCCTCTTCCGGCCCTTTGTTTCCTATGGAGTCTCTGTTAATTGACTGATCAGTATCTATATGAGATAAAGTATTTGTCTTATGGGGGCCAAAACAGGGGCCTTTGTATTGACTACTTCTAGAAGTGCAGGCAGGTTGGTTGGAGTGGATTGGTCCAGTAGATTTGGGATGGTTTTGAAGGCTGCTTTTGTCTATTTTAGATGCCTCATATGTCTCTTGATGTGCTCTTTTTCAGTTGGGTTTTTTCCCTTGGGTAATGGCACCATTCTCTGGATCGTGGTATTTATGAAATATCTTTGTGACCTAATTCCTAAGGAGTAATGTTTAAAGGCATTTTCAAACATAAATGATGGAATTCTGTTTGTCTGGAATTGTAATAGGAACCGCTTGTAGTGAACTGGGCCGGATAGTCTCTTGAGCTTTGAAAGGGCAATCATCTCTGGCATTGAATTAGAAAGAAAAGCCAGATGTCTCTTTGCCTTCCACTCTGAGGACCAATCAATATAGTTGCCTTGGTAGGGAAAAACACACAAAACAATACTTATTGGATTAAGGGTTTGTAAGTTTGGGCATATTTTAACATCTGGCTGGGCATTCTGGATCTCCTTAGTTTTTAGAGCAGAGTTCTTCTCAATTGATCTGTTCGTCCCCTTTAGGGAGCTTTGGAGAATGGAACTGCTCATTTAGTCATTGGTTCTTGCCATTTTTCTTTTCCTGCAGAATATCTATGATCATCTCGAGTTTGCAGAAGATCTTTTGGAGTGTTTTTGCCACCAGATTAGTCTGTCAGCAGTTCTAGCCCTTCTGGGCCCTTGCTTTTATTATCTTGGTCTACATATAGTAGTGAGTCTGTAGTTAAAATGTCCTGATCAGGGAGCTGTCTTGTAGAGCAATCCCCATCCACATCATTCACCTCCAGACATTCATATCTGTTATGTAACTCTACTGGAGTGTAAAAATCCTCCAGTCTGGGTTGCTTACGGGTTGGTGTGTTTTTTCACTCCGGAAAGGGGACATTCTTTTCTGCCCCATCTGAGTTGATAGTATTCTTGGTATTTTGATATTCCCAATAGGTCCTCTATAGATTTCTTTGCTCAGCACTTTATTCAGCTGTCTCTTTAATAGTGGTTCATTCACCAAGCAGAGCCAGGAGATCTTTCTTGTCTTTTTAGTCTCCTTCCTTGTTGAAGATTTTTTTTCTGCTTTTAAAAATCTTCCCAGTCTATGCTATGGCTGAATGCAACTGTTATTGTTGTTTGAGAGTGAGATAAGGCTGAAGCTAATCCCTGCATCCTTCTCCTTCGGCCAGTTTGGGAGGCCAACTCCCTAGGATCTAAAAAACTTAAACTGTTTAAACTATTTAAAACTGATTAAAACTAATTAAAACAGAGAGCAGAGAGGCACAAATGCTGCTCCACCCTACAGCCGGAACCGAAACCTTACCTAACATATCTATCCCTAATAAGACAGTAGGATCCCGAGATAGAGGAACTACTGTATACCATTTTAAACTTTAAATTTAAGTTTTCACCTATAGTGAGATAAGGCTGAAGCTAATCCCTGCATCCTTCTCCTTCGGCCAGTTTGGGAGGCCAACTCCCTAGGATCTAAAAAACTTAAACTGTTTAAACTATTTAAAACTGATTAAAACTAATTAAAACAGAGAGCAGAGAGGCACAAATGCTGCTCCACCCTACAGCCGGAACCGAAACCTTACCTAACATATCTATCCCTAATAAGACAGTAGGATCCCGAGATAGAGAAACTATACCATTTTAAATTTTTAATTTAAGTTTTCACTTATATTCCGCAATTCCAAAGAAGCAAACATGTTAGTCAGCCTTGTCCCATATAACATGCCTAGTGTGTATCTGAAAAAAACAGATTACAGTATAATCCATAAAGGCTAAGAGCAAAATCTGTCAGTCTTAAAGGCGTTTCATGCCATTCCCCTCTCTCATCACTGCAGCTACCTTTCTGGGAGCAGGAGAAAATAAGGATGTGGAAATTGAAGGGAATTAGCAGGTAAAGCATGTAAAGCCTCCTCTACCCGAAAGGACCACTACAACCATCCTGCTGTACTGTCCCAATGCTGAGAATTCCTTGCAAGTTGAAAAATAAAATTCACACACAATACATGAAGATTGTGGTCTAACAAGACCTTTCGTGAGATTTTTAAGTTGCATAGAATTATCTTTGCAAAGGGAAAAATCCATTAGGGTGTTCCCCCAACTATATTTTTATTTCATTCCACCAAACTATTTTTACCTGGCAACCAGTGTGGTACAGTGGACGGTGCCAGAATATGTCCTGGATCCAAAAAACAACAACACATGGCCACAGAAACGAACGAAGAAGGGGGCAATGGTAAACCACTCTTTCAAGATCCCATGTGCCTTGCAATAACTGTGAAATAATTTGATAGCATATCCTAATACAGTACAACTATACCCTTCTACCTCACTCCTGTTGGACAGCATAAGAACGCCCATGCATTCAACCCCCGTCCTCCTCAGTTTGGCACGGCACTACCAACACATTAACTTTTCGGGGTCTCCCCCACTCCGATACTCTGCCCATGAAAAGTCATCTACCGCGCGAATCGTCGCTCTCCTGTTACCTGCCATCCCTGCCGCGGTCTCCCCGGGGCACCGACTGGCGCTGGCGCGAGGGAGTGCCGGCGGAGGGACTGAAGGGCGCACTGCCGTCTCCCGCTCCTCCTCCGCCGCCGCCGCCATTACTACTACCGAGATACTGGGTCATNATATTGCACCCCCCCCCCCCCGTCTTTACTTCGGGGTTCAAACCGATGCAAACATAACCCCAAGACCACCCCCTTTCCTTCACTCCTCCGCAGCAAGGCTACACTACCGGTCACGGGGGGAGGGCGGACGAATTATTAAGAGGCTTTCCATTGGTTGAGCGGAGAAGAGGGCGCTCTCGGTAATAGGCTGATCTGACTAATACGGGCGGGAAAGGAAACCGAAGCGCTCTTGCTGATTGGTCGTTGGGCAGGAAACCCTCCAAGCACGCACTTAGCTTCCCCCTCCTCTCGTTACCTAACCGGCCTTCAGCTCCCCGCCTGGGCTGAGCCTAGAAACTGGAGAAAGGGAGGAAAGCGTTCATATGGCATCTTTGGCGCCTTCTTCTTGTCTCGCGCCTGATAGGCTATCAGGTCGCGCGCGCGCTGCTGCTGCTGCGGATCTGCCCGCGGAAGAGAGCCTTCCCAACCTTACAGTATTTGAAAAGCGAGTGTAAGTTGGTGCCAGTGGAACCGCCTGATACTGTACTTCTAATCACCGCGTTACCTCAGTTTACAGAATTACGAGGAGCAACTTTCCTTGATAGCCAGTACAGTATCAGATGTAATGGGAGATTCCCCCCCCCCCCGAAATCAGAAACACTGCATGGATGTCTAGTTGCCAAGCGGGTACAGTAATTCACTCTCACTCTATCTCTCTCTCACACACAGATGATAGAACAGTCTGCAAAATGTTTGGCAGCAACAATTAAAATAAGATTAAATATGGTTCTAAACTGTAATTCTTTGCAGAGTTGCCTGTTTAAAATTTTGGAATTTATGTATGTTATATATAATTTATATATGTATAATTTATAATTATACATATAATAATACATTATAATATAAGTATAATAATATATTATAATTATAATACATTATAATTTATATATGTATGTTTGATGATTATGAGTTTATCTTCTTGATTTTAATATGTTGGTTTTATATCAGAGTAGCATCTTATGTACTACAGTGGGGTCTTGACTTGAGAACTTAATCCGTATTGGAAGGCGGTTCTCAAGTCAAAAAGTCTGTAAGTCAAGTCTCCATTGACCTACAGTGCATTGAAAACCGATTAATCCCGTAACAGGCCGTTTTTGTTCCATTTTGGTTTTTTTCTGGTCTGTAAGTCAAATCTCAGTCTGCAAGTCAAACCTAAATTTTGCGGCCAGAGAAGTCTGTAACTCAAAAAGTCTGTAAGTCAAGCCGTCTGTAAGTCAAGGGTCCATTGTACCTGAGATGGCATATCGCTAATGCAAAGAATATTCTACTACTACTTGAATAAAACAACAAAAGCAGTTGCATGATCCTTTTTTAAAAATCCAAATCAGACTGTTAAAAACAGTTATATCAGGCAATTTTTCAAAATCAACAACACCTTTCTTCAGCCTGGCCATTGCAGAAGGGAGAAAGAGAAAGATCTAAAAATTGTCCAGATCTAATGTAGCAGTGTGCAATCTATCCCAAAAATAACATCCCAAGATAGATACCACAAGTTTCAACTCAGGCAATGTGGAATGAATTGTTTTTCCACATCTCTATGTACTGTTAAGGTGCTACACCCAATATGCTAGCAAGTTTGGAAAACTCAACAGTGGCCAGAGGACTGGAAAAGATCAGTCTACATCCCAATCCCAAAGAAGGGCAGTGCCAAAGAATGCTCCAACTACCGTACAATTGCACTCATTTCACACGTTAGCAGGGTTATGCTCAAAATCCTACAAGGTAGGCTTCAGCAGTATGTGGACCAAGAATTCCGAGAAGTACAAACTGGATTTTGAAGGGGCAGAGGAACTAGAGACCAAATTGCTAACATGCGCTGGATTATGGAGAAAGCCAGAGAATTCTAGAAAAACGTCTGCTTCTCCTTCATTGACTATGCAAAAGCCTTTGATTGTGTGGACCACAGCAAACTATGGAAAGTCCTTAAAGAAATGGGAGTGCCTCACCAGCTTATCTATTTCCTGGCACAGGAAGCAACAGTTAGAACTGGATATGGAACAACTGATTGGTTCAAAATTGGGAAAGGAGTACGACAAGGCTGTATATTGTCTCCCTGCTTATTTAATTTATATGCAGAATACATCATGCGAAAGGCTGGACTGGAGGAATCTCAAACTGGAATTAAGATTGCCAGACGAAATATCAACAGCCTCCAATATGTAGTTGATACCACTCTGATGGCAGAAAGTGAGGAGGAA